GCGCCCGGGATCCGAACCAGCGAACCCCGGGCCGCCGCAGCGGAGCGCGCGCACTTAACCGCTTGCGCCACCGGGCCGGCCCCTCTGCTTCCTTGTTTAAATTTATTTGTTAATATTTTGTTCTTTTTGATGCCATTGTAAATGGAGTTGTTTACTTAATATCCTTTTTGATTGTTGGCTACTGGTCTATAGAAATACAGCTGATTTTTGAGTGTTAAACTCAGATCTGATTTTTGAGTGTTAAATTCAAAATTGAATCCTGCCCTTTTGCTGAATTCATTTATTAACTCATTTATTTTTTTTTGAGTCTTTTGGTTTTTCTACATATAAGGTCATGTCATCTGCAAAGAGATAGTTTTACTTCTTTCTTTCCAATTTGGATGTTTATTTATTGATTTTTCTTGCCTAATTACTGTGGGAAGAACTTTCAGGACTGTGTTGAAATAAGACAGTGAAAGCAGACTGTCTTATTCCTGATCTTTGGGGAGAAGCTTTCAGGCTTTCATCACTGAATATGATGTTGGCCGTGGCCTTTTCATATACGGTGTTTATCATGTTGAGGAAGCTTCTTTTTATTCAGTTTTCCTTGTCTTGGTGCACCCCATTATTTTGGTGGAGCTTCCTAAGTTAAAGAGGCACATAGGAGGGAAAAAATTGAGGGTTAGCATGTTTGAAAATATCTTTATTCTCTGTCAGTTGTTGTTTCTGTAATGATAGTTTGAAAATAATTTTCACTTAGAATTTTAAAGGCATATTTTCCTATGTGACCTGTTTGTTTTGGCTTTTCCCGTCTAACAGAGCCGTTAGAGTCTTCTCTTATTCCTAATGTTCTGTAATTTTCATGATGATATGGTTGGTGCTGGTTTTTGTTTGTTTTTCATTAATGATGATATAAGTCCTTCACAACTGGAAAATATTTTTTGTATTACATCTTGAATCATTTTTCTTCTCTGTTCTCTTGTTGAAACTTACTAGTTGGATGTTGGGCCTCTGAGATTGATCCTCTGATTTTCTTTTCTCTCACCCCCCCACCCCCGCCATCCCACTTTCTGCAAATATTTCTTTACTTTATCTTCCAAACATTGTAAATATCTTTAAAATTTAAGCTCTCATATTTTTAATATTTTGTTTTGGGATATTTATTTTTACAGATCATATGCTTTCATTTCTCTTGAGTAAAACTTAGGAGTGAAGTGGCAAGAAGTTAAACTACTGGTATATGGTAGTTGTGTGTTTAACTTTTTGAGCAACTGGTAAACTGCTTTCCAGAGTGGTTGTAATATTTTACATTCATGCTGGCAGTGTGTGAGAGTTTCAGTTCTTCCACATACTCGTCAGTAGTTGGTTTGGTCCGTCCTTTAATTTTAGACATTCTAATAGGGGGTGTACTGGTATCTCATTGAATTTTAATTTGCATTTCTTGAATGCATCCTTTCATATGCCATTCACAGATCTTAAGTGGTAAAGTGTCTATTCAGATCTTTTGCCTGGTTTTTTATTGGGTTGTTTGGTTTCTTATTACTGAGTTGTGAGAGATCTTTATATATATTTTTGGCTTATATATTCTGTCAGATATGTGATTTTTAAATATTTTCTCCCAGTTTGTGGCTTGTCATTTCATACTCCAAACAGGGTCTTTCAAAGAGCATATGTCCTCAATTTTTATGAAGTCTAATTTATTAATTTTTTTTGTATTGTTGTATCTAATAAAGGTTTGCTAAACCCAGCATCACAAAGATTTTCTCCAATGTTTTCTTATGGAAGATTTTAAATGTTAGATTTTACGTTTAGGTCTATGATCCATTTTAATTTATTTTTTGTTCATGATATGAGATATGGATCAAAGTTCTTCTTTTTTCTTTTGTATGTAGATGTCTAGTTGTTCTAGCACCTGTATTTGTTGATAAAACTATCCTTTCTCCACTGAATTGCCTTTATACCTTTGTCAAAAATCAATTGTCCATTTGTGTGGGTGTATTTATGTTTCATGAATCCATTTTCTATTTTTATACCAGTAGCACACTGTCTTGATTACTGTAGGTTTATAATAAATCTTGAAGTCAGGTAGTGTAAATCCTCCAATGTTCTTTTTCAAAGTTGTTTGGTTATTCTATGCCTTTTGCATGTCTGTTAGAATATTAGAGTCAGCTCGCCAATTTCTTCATAAAAAGCTTGAAGGAATTATGATTGAGATTGTGTTGAATCTATAGATCAATTTAGGGAGAAATGACATCTTAACAATATTGAAGTTTCCAATCCATCAACACAGTATGTTTCTCCATTTATTTAGGTCTTATTTAA